TACGACGTCGGCGCTCTGCTACTATGCGACGTTGGCGCTACTGTGTCACCGCTCTGCTAGTGGGCGGCGTCGGCGCTCTGCTGCTACGAGACGTCGGCGCTACTGTGGCTCTGCTTCCGTGCGACGTTGGCGCTCCGGTAGTGGACGGCATCGGCGCTACTGCTGCTACACGACGTCGGTTTCCGTGCGGCAGGCGTCGCCGTTTCGCGGTCTTGCGGTGGACTGAGGTGTGGCGGCACTCTACCCCTGAACGGCCAAGCCTTGTATTGCGAACAGTGTACAAGTCAAGGGCCCTCCTAGCTGTGCGTTCACAGCTGCAGTTCCGCGTTGACGCGCGGTGGTGGGGCGATGCCGGCGCTACTCCGCCGGGGTTCTACTGTTGAGCGAACGGGCGTCGCCGTCACGCGGGCTCACGGTTGACTGTGGGGCGGCGGCAGTCTACCTTTGAACAGCCAAGCCTTGTATTGCGAACAGTGTACAAAGCAAGAGCTCCTCACTAATAGCTGTGCGTTCACGACCACCGCTCCGTGCTGACTGACTCGTATGTTGCCAAGTCACATCTGTTATAGCTGGTGCTCTTCGTGTTGCTGAGTCGTATGGCTACATGTTGCGTTGCTATGGTGACGGTGTCACCAGGGAATGTGGATACGGTCTCTTTTGTTGGCTGGCCGTGTTGATGACGCTGCTGTAGTCGTTGTTGTTGCTGTTGTAGTCATTGTTGCGGCGTTCGTGTGGGCTAAATTCCGTAGATATTTAGTCCTCACATATTTTTTCGCAATTTAACTTTGAAAGAAAACAATGTGTAGCTTCCAATAACCATTTTTCCGAACATTGGCGTCGCTTTGCGAATATATTTTTTGTTATTGTAGCTCAGTGATTCCCAAAGTGGTCCAGGTGGACCCCCAGGGGTCCACGGGAGACTCGATAGGGGTCTACGTTGGCGTGAAAAAAATATGGGGTCCACGAGTTGTAAGTGGGGGTCCATGAAAATTCATCTTGTTTCGATAGTAAGGAACCAAAATGGTTGCTTGATAGCCTATTTATTTAACTTACATTTTTTTGAGTGGTGTATAGTGCTCTTGAGTGCTGGTGAGCTTACCGTCACTTTGTGTCATCATACGTGGGGAAGCCTTAAATGCCACCTGCAGACTAAAAAGAAACGGATGTTGGTATAACACTGAGTGAGGCGATGCGGAAATTGTCGGTGGCAGATATTTGAGCGCTTGTGTCTATTCAGTGCTACAGGATAGTACGCCACCATTGCCTTTGTTGAAGAGATTCCCTTAGGAGGAATGCTGGTTTAATTCCAGCACTGAGCCCGCACTTGTACATTGTTGAATCTTAACTGATGGCTCCAAAACTGACTCAGGGTCAGGATATGGAGTATTGTTCGAAGTTAGTGGGGATAAGCTTCACTTGTTCTCTTGGGGAATATGCTTCGGTCTTCCAGGCTAAGGTATTTGCAATACCCAAAGCCATAGACTACGCGGTGGAAAATAGGTGGAGGGGAAGGAGTTTACGTGTCTACAGGTACAGCCAAGCTGCACTTAAGGCATTGGCCAGCCCTCAGTAAGTACTTCCAAACTAGCTCGGCAATGCACGCTCGACTAAGTAAGAAGTAAGTACTTCCAAACTAGCTCGGCAATGCAACTCTCGACTAAATTATGTTGGTAAAGATAACGAGCTTACTTTACTCTGGGTACCGGGCGACTCGGGAATGCCTGGAAATGAGACATCTGACCATTTGGCCACAGTTGCCTTAGACCAGGCATTCCTCGATCCGCAACCAGTTATAGCACTCCCCACATCGACCATCCAAGACACCATCATAAACTGGGTGGATACTTCGCTCAGCAATGACTGGGAGCTATCGTGTGGATGCAGGTGGGCAAAACTCATTTTGCCTTCAATCTCAGAAGGTCTATCTAATTTTTTCCTCTCACTGAGAAGACGAGACGGCTGACTGGTCACTCCATGTGGCACAAACACCTCACTGTGATAGGCGCAAATGACAACTCCATTTGCCCATCCTGCTTTGAAGAGGATGAGACGGTGGAACACTTCTTGAGCTTCTTGCTTGCTTGTTTGTTTATCGTCGATTTATCTAGTTTCGGTCTCTTCTTTTTTGTCAGTTTATGAATTTGAAGTTTGGCGTAAAAAGCTTTGCAGTTTTGTTGTTTCAACTTTTGTGTTTTAAAAATGCGAGTGACGAATATTTTTCGCATCATAGTCGTGGAATTTTTAATCAGCCATAACTTCGGAACCACAAGTCACATGACAAACATATCAATGGTAGGTGCTTATAGTAAGGTTTATATAAATGAGTTTGTAAATGGGGACGTGGCACATAATATAGGCGTACAATTTTTATCAGCCATAACTTCGGAACCACAATTCACATGACTCCTTTAATTCCTTTGGATATGCCTTTCGAATTTAAAAGACTTCAGTTTCCAGTTCGCTTAGCTTTGGCAATGACAATAAACAAGAATGCCTTAAAGTAAAACCCGAAACTTTATCGAAAATAAAACGTATGATAATTGTACTGGAAAATGCATTTATGTTAATAGATACTTTGCAGTATTAAAAAATGCTTTGAAATCATATTAGAGTAATTATTCATAAGAAATTAGATACTATTTCTTCTATTATATAACTTATTGGAGATATTTTAACCTAAATAAAAACACCTGCAGAGCCAAAAAATTATTATTGCATGTAATTTCATAACACCCAATCCATACAGCGGTCTGCTACCGCGGCTATAGTAAAATTAGAGCAGAAAGAGAGTATAACGTCCCAATAAACATTGGGCTTGGTTAACAATTCGAAAATGATTGGAAAACGAATCTTTTTTTCGAGTCTCACCTTCGATAACGAATGTGGAATAGGTTGATATTCCATTCGAGAACTAGACCATTCTCCAGCAAAACGGAATTTTCGTTATCCAATATATTTTCCCCATCGTTATGAATTCGAAATCCAGCCCATTATCGAATTGAAATATTAATGGGAGAGAGTCTTATATTTCCCTTCAAGAATGAGCTGGATTTCACTTTCTCTCTTGTTACGAATGTTGGAAAACTAAGGTTGGATATGAGTTCGTTCTCAGTTCGATATGCACATTGGATATCGGACGTCATTTTCGAACGTTCGCCACAATGTTTATTGGGATCTTTACATAAAGTATTTCCCATATCTGTATAAAGACGTGGGGTGAAACCCGCGGGTAAAAGCTAGTATATTTATAATTAACAGTTGAAAAAATAAATTCATTATATGTGGAACCAAATATTTGGATGGCACAGAGGTCAAGAGTGTTTCCGAAGTGAGATTTGGGCATCACGCTTAACACAAAGCTCTGGTGGAAAAAAAACACGTCGACATGACGACATTCAAAGCCACACCAGTATTATGGTATGCAAACGTCTTGCCCTCGGATACTCAGATGGATGTATACTATGATTGTCAAACCAATGAAAACCTATGGAGCAGGGGCCTGGGGTTCAAAGCAAACCTAGTGACCTGATCTAATGAAACCTGACTAATGTGTTTAAAGTCACATGCTGAATTCCTTCACATCACGTGTTCTCCCTTTATGACCTTTACATGGCTGTGTTCTTTCGACAGGACTTTGCAAAGCCTGACTGATTCCTTAGTGTTATCTATGGAAGAACAATAAGATTGCCAGGATTTTAACCATAGATCTCCTCAATTATTATATGATCTTTTAGGGCTGGTTTCTCCAACTCAACTTAACTTAGTTTAGCCACTTTTTGGACTTAAGTCAGAAGTTAGCCTACGTTTTACACAGCTTATTCTTGACCAAGTCAAGAAAATTGGCTTAACTAAGTTAAGTTGAGTTGGAGAAACCAGCCCTTAGTCTCTCTTTGAGTTCTGAGGTCCCACCAAAGCGAGGATTTCTTTCCCGCCATACTCACTGAGATTGATCTTTCGAAGTCCTTCCTCATAATCTCTTCTAGGTTTTTACAATATTATGAAGGTCCTCATTTATTGTGACAGTTGTATTTAGTGAACCTTTGCTTAGTTTATGCTCTAATCTATTACCATATTTTTCTCAATTAGTTTTGCGGAGGTTTCTGTATATTAATATGATGTAATAAGTAATAAATACATGAATACACAAAGGAGTTGCTTTCGCAAAAACAAAAAACAATTTTTTACTAATATATCTTATTTAATATTAAATTAAATTTACCTCAGCGACACACACATTATCTTCACCTTCCGGCATGCATCGACCTTTTAAGGGAACTTGAGTGCCCAGTGAAATGTGCAATAGAACGCAAATCCTTTGTCTTTGTAAGTGTCCACCTGGATCTGTACCGGCGTGGAAAAGGACCCGTAATACTGGTGAGTCACGCGAAATTGTTGATTTTATCAAATGGGCTGATATATCCAAATGCATATTAGCTTGCTGTAATTCTATTAATGCTGCAGTTGTGTTCTGAAAAAACAGGTGAAAATGGGTTTTTGAAAATGTTAGGCATTCCATTTCAATACAAAATATACGAGTTTAGATTTAGTTTTCAATACTATTAAAAATGTTTGGATTTCAAATATTTTATGAGGGGGGGCCAGAAAATAAAACGAGAAAGCTGTCTTGTTACTTCACATGTTTATTGCGCTATCCTTCAGCCAGTTTTAATGCACTCAGCCAGCAAAGAAACGTACGAGTTAAAAGCTTTTATTTAACTTCACATGTGTACATATGTATGTATGTCCTGGAATTTTGCAATCAATATTTCACCAACTTCCAGATGAGTTAGACTGAGTTCAAACAATGAGACAATGTAATGTGAAGGATGAAATAATCCGCTAGGAGCCGCAGGAGTCGAGATATTTGGTAAACTCGTATTTATGGTTCGATTTGGTTCATACTTTAGAAAGTTAGTATTAAGATATATGTAGGCTATTAACCTATTTTGTTTTATTTTGCTTTTCCTAATAATAAAAAGCATTTGAAAAGTTCAGAACTGAGGGATATTCAAAGAAAAACGACAGAAATACGGTGAGCAAAAGAAGTTGTACAGTTGAGGTGTCCACCATCAAATTTGAGTATTCCCGCTTTGGTTAAAACCAAAATTAATTAAATCACAAATACAGTATTATGCAACGATTTATTCCAAATAACTCCTTGTGCATTGTAAATGATACCGAAGAGCGGGGTCTAAAAATTATGCAAAATCTATATATAAATACGCCACAAGAAAATTTTGAACTCCCTTTTTTGAGGGCAACGTTCGCTCGATTTCAATGAACCATACACCGATTTAAAGGATATAACTTCCCCTAATTCCATTACATAGGGAGCGTGGCATCTGACATACAGAATAAAATGAATACCGATATATTTCTAAAACCAATTACGCTAGAGAACTGAAACTTAGCACGGATGCATAAATTGTAAATACCAAACCTACGCCGAAAAATGTTAGGTATTGAAAAAGGAGGCGTGGCACCTCCCGTACAAAATGAAATTCTAATAGTAGTAGTAGTAGTCTTCTTCTTCTTCTTATTTGGCGCTGTAACCGCTTAAGCGATTTTGGCCGAGTCCAAAACAGCACGCCAGTCATATCTCTTCTGTGCTAACTGACGCCAATTGAAAATGCCAAGTGAAGCCAAGTCCTTCTCCACCTGGTCTTTCCAACGCAGAGGAGGCCTTCCTCTTCCTCTGTTCCCAGCATCGCGGCCCGCGTTGAATATTTTCAGAGCAGGAGCGTTTCTGTCCATCCGAACGAGTAGTAGTAGTAGTAGTAGTATATTTATTTATTCAGTACATATTTAAAATATATTTTACAATTGCTTTGACTTACATTAAAAATAACATAAAATAAATAAGTTCTAGACATTTAACATTTAAAGTTGTATGTCTGCATCGTACATTAATTTAAAATTAAGCGAATTTATTTATTATTAAATCTCTATATTTTAAGCAATTACTAATATATTCATAAAGGGAAAGTTATTGTTTCGTCTAAGGATATTTAACACATGAGGCAAATCCAAAACTGTCTCACCGAAACACTTAGAACGGATGCTAGAATAACTAGGGCACACACCAATAAAATGGAATGTATCTTCAACAACATTTAGATTGCAAACAGTACAGGTTGAAGATGTAGCATTAGCAAAGGCTGGCTGACATCCAAAACGTCAATTGCTTTGCATACGTACAAAGTATAATGTTACATAACGCCGAACTACCAAATGTTGACGATGTATACTTTACCAAAACGCATCCGAAAATTTATCGAAACGCATCGCTAGCGCAATCAGCGCATCAGAAACAAAGTTGATGCTTCGTTTGTTATTGGTTACCATTGGTGTTTTAAAAATGGAAAATTCAGAAAAAATGTTCATTGCTATATTAAGTATTTAAAATATGCAATGTATATGGTTGCAATGTGTCGCAACTCTGCATAT